GGCCAAGGTCATAACCTTGGTTATGACCTTATCCACACAATCACCAGGTTCCAAACACCTCTTGAATCCATTCATATCTCCTTCTCTGCATCTCTATTACCACCTTCATCTTTCATCTCAGTTCATGTGACAGCCTCTGATCTTATTTTTTGCCTCCAGTCTTCCTTCTCTTGAATTTATTCTGAAATGTAAACCAGACTGTGCCACTCCTTTACTTAAATCCTTTAATCTATCCCCCATAATTCTCGGGATAAAATTACTGTCAAAACCACTGAAGGCATCATGCCTGCCTGCCTGCCTGCCTTTCAACCCTCAATCTCACAGTCTATACTTGCCCTTCTTTCCAAAATGACATGCATTCTCTCACCAAGCATTTACACATCTTGCAGGAATTCCTATACACCTATGCCCACTTTTCTAATGGGTTGTTTTGATGTGTACTAGTTACCAGAGTGGGTGCAAGTTAAAGAGCTTGACAGAGCCACACCTCTGTGCAATTCAGGCCCAAGGGGAGGGCTTTGAGAAGACAGTTCCTGTCCTAAGATGGAAACTTCCTAGATTATACTTTCAAAGGTGGTTCCACTCCTCATCTTCCTTATCCCTTATATTTTCCTTTAATTTCTGTCATGCCCTAGTTTCCTTATAACTCAATATAATTTGTAATTTTATTTTCAACTTATTCCTCCCTTTTTTCTCTCTCACTCCTACTAAATTCTAAGCTCCATTAAAGATCTTGCAGATCTCATTCAGAGCAGTAGCACATGGGCCTAAGGATATAGAGGGCTCTCAAAAAGTACTTGTGAATGAATAAAGAATGATAGTGATAAAAACTACAACACCAATTATGGTCTTATAGTTCAATCAAGAACCATTTAGTAAACTAAAATATTTTTAGTTTTGTTCCAGTTATTTGGATCATAAAAAGGAGGCAGAAAGTATAAGATTACTCATTCTCAAAGAATTTATAACCTAGCTTGGGGTATAGGCATGCCTGAGCACCACAGAGAACAATTCATGCACCTGTTCATGACCTCATGTTATCTTCTATTACTTTTATTTTCCTAAGTTCTTTAAAGGATTAAAATAATATAATACACCATACCTCTCAAGGAACTCAGAATTTGTTTGGAGAGCCAAGATAGATAGATACATATGAGGAATTACAGATTGCAATATAAAGAATACGTAATTAGGTTCAAAACATTCTATAGACAACAAATATTAGGCCCCCAATTTTTCCTCTGAGACAGTTTCCTCATGTGTAACAGCATCATTGCAAAGATCAAAATACAAATTATATGAATGTCTTCTGTCAGCTACAGATCATATTTCAAACTCAACATATAGTAATATTAAAAATCCTTCCAAAGTATACCAAAATAAGTTAAACAAGACACACTCAGAAAGCACAAACTAATATTGATAAAACATTATATCAAGAGCCTTGATCTTGGTTTTCAATTGTTCCTACTTAACCTTAATATTCTTAAACATGAAGGAAAACCTTTATCAGGGTTGTGGAACTAAGGAGAATTTCTTGGTCAAGAGTGCGTTTATTTGTGGCTCACACATTTTATTTCATTTAAACAAGCAAATATTAAGCACTACTTGGCACTATGTTATGTGAGGTGGACAATACAAAGTAAAATAAGATTCTTTTCGTGAAAGAAGATGCAAGTCGAGAGATAAGATGCAAACCAATTATAAACAATGTCATACAAAGCAAAACGAAGCCCGGCTCCCCTGACGCCAGTGGGAAGACATTGCAAGTTCCACAAAACATGAACATCACTTTGTGAATGTCTGGGTTTATCAGTAACATGTGCAACAAATATCTGTGCTCTAGCTTCCATCCTACAGGAGAGATTTTTACTTTCTACTTATTTATGTATTCCTTGAAATATTTATTAAGTTTATGTAGCTTTTACAATCACAAAACTCGTTATATCTGGACAGACTAAAATAATGTAAAATACATTATTTTACATTTACATTACATTTATGTTTTACAAAAACACATATTATTTTAATGTAGGGAAGTGTTCCTACATTAAAGGGAATGTAGTGAAACTCCTCTAGGGTGTATCAGCCCCACACCCCAAAATTGTTGTTATAAAGAACTTTTAGAAGTTTCAGTATGAAAAAATTGTTAAAATGTAATTGAAGAAATGGAGAACACATTAGTGGTTGCTAGGGGTCAGGATGGGGGTAAGGGAGACGAGTGTGGCTATAAAATGTAACAGGAGGGATCTTTGTGGTGATAGAACTGTTCTATACCTTGACTGTCAATATCCTGGTTGTGATGTTACACTATGGTTTTGCAAGATATCACCAATGGGGGAAACTGGGTAAAGGGAACAGGAATCTCTCTGCATTATTTCTTACAATTGCATATGAATCTAAAATTATCTTAAAAGGAAAGTTTAACTTTAAAATGATAGCATTATAACTAATTGAATAAAACTGGAATCCATGAGCCCATACTGGTATAAATAAATGGGAGAGGACAAAGTTTTTTCTCACAGTAGAGAACTAATAAATTTTGAAGAGAAAAGAGAATTAGAAATTCATCATTAGGCAACCATCAGAGTAATGATTAATTCATCCAAGAAATACTAATGGATGCTAAGACTAGATGTTAAAATTTGATGAGGAACAGAATGTTTCCAACAAAATGCTTACTACAAAGGAAAAAAAAAAAGTAGTTTTTTTTCCACAGTGGAGAAACTTGGCAGACATCACCTCAATCAAGAAATCAAAGTTAACATCACCAGTGATAGAACAAAACAGCGTCATGTGCTCCTTGATAGGACACAGTGAGAAGGACCACAGCAGCACTTCTGCGTTATTTTGTCAAAGTTACATAACGGGAATCTAATTATGAAGAAATATCAGACAAACCCAAACTGAGGGACATTCTATAAAATGACTGACCTGTGATCTTTAAATGATAAGGTCCTGAAGGTCAAGAAAAGATTGAGAGACCGTTCAAGATGGAAGACGACTCGAGAGAGATGACAACTAAAGACAACCAGTGATCCTAGACTGGATTCTTTCACTATGAGAAATGTTATTGGAAAAATTGGTTAAACTTGAATTGGGTCTGTGAATTAAATAGTAGTTTATATATCAGCATTAATTTCCTGACTTTAATGGTTGTATTGAGGTTATAAAAGGGAATGTCCTGGTCATTACATAGTATTCAAGGATGATGGGGCATCCTTTGGCAACTTACAAATCGTTCCGGTAAAATGTTCTGTAAATTTGGCAAACTTTTCTCTAAGTTTGAAATGGTTTCAAAATAAAAGTTTATTATAAAAATGCAATTGATAATTTTCTCTGCACTCTAGAGCTCAAGAGATCATGCTGTGCCCAGTTTCTCCTTCTGTTTCCAGTGAACAAATAGTCAAATGAGGATAGCAAGATTGAAAATGGAATTTTCTCTAAATCAGGGGTTGGCACACTTTTTCTGTAAAGGGTCTGATAGTAAATATTTTAGACTTGAGGGACAGGCTATTGCCACTATTCAATTCTGTTGTCGTACAAAAAACAGCCATAAACAATACATAACCTAGTGAGTGTGACTATGTTCCAAGAAAACTTTACTTATGGACACTGAAATTTGAATTTCATATAATTTTCATGTGTCACAAAATACTTCTTTTTTTCCCAATCATTTAAAAATGTAAAACCCATCCTTAGCTCATAGGTCATACACAAACAGATGGATTTGGCCAATGAGTCTTAGTCTCCCAACCTCTGCTTTAGATTTTAAAATGGAATTCACGTGCCACATCATTGAACAAATTATTAGTAAATAATTGGTGAATGTAAGCATTATAAATTTAAGAATTAGAGAATTTTTTATGTAGACTATACAAGGTACAGGTGAATGTTACAGAATGAATGGTCCCTGCTTTGGAAGATTGATGACCCATTCTAGCCTCTAATTACACACATTTCTTCTGTTAGATGGTACCTAAATCCTAGCCCACCGCAACACAAACAAACCCCAATTCTTCCAAGGGTTTGGAATCAGGTGAAGCTCACTTGGTGTTAAAAAATAAGCAATTTGTTTCAAAAGGTCTTGACATAAAAATGTTCTGCTGACCTTGGTACAATGAAGGGACCTGATAAATTAGTATTTCTACAGCTTTTATCTAGCAAGAGCCACACTCTGGGTTTAAGGAGGGCTAGAAACAATATCACAAAACTACATTTCAGAAGTTGAGAGGCTAATGGAATAAATTAGAAAGATGAACAGTGGAACCTAAAGCAATAGTTAATTGGGAAAGAGAACGGGAAAATCGATAAGTCTCACTAATTATATAATGTTAGCTGAGGTTTTCAGTCTAGGAAATTATGGTTTCACTAATGAAAAAGGATAATAGGTGAGAGGTGGCTAATTTGTGAAGAAGGGTTCTAAGACATCTGATTTCTAACCTTCTCCCATCCACCTAAATGTAAAAGTTCAGAATTCTCTTCCAAATACTCATTGAGACATTCATTTGAATAAACCTTTTATCTTTTTCCAACATCTTAGCAATATATTGAAAAGAATATAATTAGCGTATAACTGGAAGATACCTATCATTCTTATCTTGTTAGTTATTAAGTCTATAAGCAGAAAGACCACTATGACTTTATAAACTCCTAGTGAGAGTTTTTCATAAAGTCATCATAAAGTTTTTATAAAATCAAAATTTTTCCAAAAGATACTCACTCTAACGGTTACACTGCTGAAGTAAAGTATTGCCCTAAGATGTTATCTCTCCTTTCATACAACAATAACTACCATCTTTTGGACACTGGAAAGACTTATTACTTAGGTTCGAGAAAGTAGTTCTGAGCTGGGGAAGCATATGGTGGCTTCATTCCAGCTCACTAGCCCCTGTGGCAGTGAAATAAAGGAGGTCACAGCAGACAGACATCACGCAATGCAAGCCGGAAGACTCTCAAACAAGAGAAACAGCACTGACCAGAACCACACATTACCAAAGCACGAATTGAGAATGATTTATTAAGATCCAATTAGTATGTTTTTAATTTCAAATAGTCCATATCTCCTTCAGAATATATGCACATGAGTAGAAGTCCAAGTTCATTGCTTTCACTTCCAACATAAAATGCTCTGTATTTTGTATAAAGTATGTGCAAACACCTTTCTGCTAACTGGTTCTCCACCTTCTTTTCACTTTGGGCACTTGATAAGTCTGCCCTCTGCTCCAATGGTGACCATGCACTGAATTCCTCCTTCCTACACAACCATTTTTCTCCCAGACATCTTTCTCTTAACCATACTCCTGACTTTCCCATACTTGCTTCATGACTATGACTTTACTGGTTTCTTATTATAACAAACTGGTGCAAATACTAGCTTACGTAGATAATGCATGGTATCCAGTCACATACCAACACACTCTACCCATTTGCTACAGAAGGGTCCAAGCTGTTTAACATGAAGATCCTTTATTCACTCGGCATCTTTGACTTCTTTGCATTTTCTCCAATTCTACACGACAGTCATGGCTACCAAGAGCTGGATAATCAGTCTCTCAAACAAAATTTGGAATTTCCAGACATATTAACTAGGGTGTCCTTGTTATTTATGACAGTTGACTGTTTCTAGGCCATCTTGTTATATTAAAAAAGTCACTCTAAAGAAACCACTGCATTTCCTTTGTAAAACGGTAATTTAACTGGCTTTCCTCACAAGTGTCACCCATGCGGTGCAAAGCAGGAAATCCCTTTTTATAAAAGGTAAGAGCATAAAAAGACATTTCACATTTTTAAAAAAATCCTTCATGGGAATATGTCCTAAGTAAATAATTATATGGACAAAGTTTTATGTACACAAAATTTTCGCATTATTATTTATAATAGTGAAAATTAGAAATAATGTAAGTAGTCAATGATACAGGAATGGTTAAATAAACCAAGTTGCGTCCATTAAATGGAATATGATATAGCCATTAAAATTATGTTTTTGTAAAATTTTTAATGCCACAGGAAAATGTGGCAATTCTGCAGTGGAAAAAAGAGCTGGCTATAAAATTGTTTACAGTATGATCCCAATTATATAAAAAGGTATATAATATACACATATAGGCATACACGGGGGAAAAGCTGTTAACGGTGGTTACTTCCGAGTTGTGATACTATCAGTAATTATTTTCTGTTTTATACATTTCTGCATTTTTAAAGTTTTCTACAATGTCTATGTATTATTTTATAATACAGAAAAACACAGGCTATTAAAAAATTCCTCTGATGTACTGACAATTAGAAAGTACTGGGTATCATAAATATGTGGGAGCAATATTACTGTACTTCATCTTCTATGACTTTTTTAGAGTACATATACTTTTGGTAATAAACTTACATGCCCTCTTTGTTTTATATGTGTTACAACACTTTATAAAAAGGTAATATTGTGATTAGAGCATTGTTTGTTTCATAACCTAAACAAATACTGGCTTCGACATCTAGGTTCTTCTATTTCCTAGAAGATTTAAAATTAACACCCTTTTATCTTTTTAACTAAGGCATACTGCATACATACATTATATGCATGCTTCCTAAAAAAAGAATTCTAATTTACAGTTTTCCTACATAAGGAAAAAAATGGAGTTATGGTAGTGTAAAAATAGTCTTAGTCTTATCCATCACAAGCATGCTGATAGGCATAAACATGTTTATTAAATGAAATGTATCCTTTAAAAATGAAAAGGGGCAGCCTGTATGTAAATGAAGTTGTGGGTTCAATTAGTCAGAATTTATTCCGACTTACACCAAACCACACAAAACCTTTTGAAGTCTAGTTAGTGTAGTCCACATGGACAATCCAGAGTCTATTTATGAATTCCATTGCAAGATCTCCACTTTCTACTTTCAAAAGGAATGGGGATCAGGATGAGGGTTGTCACATAAGCTAATTTTCAATATATATCAAGTCTTGTTGGGTCTAGGAACAAATACTGCCACTGGTTAGTGTTTAAGTACGTGAGTTTATTTTTCCTCTCTCTCTCGCACCCCACCTTGTATTGGGTAGGGGGAGGCTGTTCATCCCTCAGTCGATGATGGCTCGCTTCTCATCTTAGTTTCCTTTCTAAACCACAGAGTGGTCATTGCTGTGAACTCCAGCCAAGATGGTGTGGTTGAGGGAGGAAGCTGACCGGTCTGAGCCTTCCGTGGGGCCGCTGGTGTTCTCACTGCGCTGGCAGCAGAGGATCTGTCTGAAGGTGGCACTCATCTCCTTGTCACGGTAGGAGTAGATGATGGGGTTCATGGCAGAATTGAACTCGGCAAGCAGAAGGAAAAATTTCTCATAGGCCAAAACATCACACTGTGGACAGCACACATCGAGAAGTAACAAGACCAATCCAGGAGTCCAGCAGATAATAAAGGCACCTACAAGGAGAGGGATTGGGAGGATTTAAAAAAGAAAGAAAAAAAAATATAATTATGAAAGAACCATAAAGTGAAATGATTTCAGTTCAATATGAAAATACTGAGATTCAAAGCCACCAGACCATCATCTGATACGAAATGTTCATTTTCTGAAATAACCAGAAAATTTTAATGACAAAATAATCAGTTTAATAAAATCTCATTAATTCAGACCCTACTAAAATTGAGTACTTATGAGACATTGACGATGATTACCTTGAGCAAAACATCGAGTTTGCTAAGCAATTAAGACATGAAAAACTACCTTCAGGATACATACTTCAATGCTTATAAAGATATGGTTTTTCACAGCATGATATTGTTTTCAGGCAAAAGATAAGCACAGTGAATGACAAATGTCCTTTAATGTTTAGCTAAGTTACAGTTTCTGGATTCGGGTTGACTGGGCTCAAATCCTTGCTTTGCCATTTAATAAACTGGGTGAACTTAAGCAATTACTTTCTTACCTCAGTTTTCTCACGTGAAAAATAGAAATGACTATATTTATTTCATTAGGTTTGCTGTAAGGAGTAAATGAGAGCTAAGCAAATAACCACTCAGTATATCTTAGCAGTAACAATAATAACAATAACAATAATATTGTTATTATCCGCCCAGTAGCATGGGCCTCTTGGGAAACAGCAATTTTCAACAATAAGGTATATGTTTACTTTCATTTTTATTCAACAGTCATTTCAATGGTGCTTTTCTATATGCTTTGCAAATTGTAACTCATTTAATCTGCACAATAGCTATATGAGATAGAAACTATTATCACATCATACAGATAAAAGAAACTGAGACCCAGAAAAGTTAAATAACTTGCTGAAGTCCATGGTACTGGAAAGTGACAGACAGGAGACAAACCCCAGAGTTTCTGCTCTTAGAGGCTGGCTCCAGAGGCCACACTCCAGAAAATACTATGTTATACTCCCCATTCCTTGAAATTAATAAAATTAAGTATTTTAAACCAAATTTTATGCTTTAGATGTTTTACAAATTTAGATAACTTTATTCTCTTTCTTCCCCAACTGTTCTGAATCATTAAGATTTTACTATAACTGTAAAAAGAATGGAAATATAGGTTATATTCTTAATTCCAGTTTATTTAGCTCCAGAAATCACTCATTTGGCTCCGAGGGAAAAAGGAAGTTGTGAAATAGCATTAAAATCTACCACCGTGTTACTCTAGGATCTCCTGGGGATTCTTGGCTAAGAGAACATGAGCCAACAGAACTGGTGGGCACACTCATGTCCCATTACATCTCACCCCATATGTATAATCAGGCTGCACAATGGGCAGACAGGGAATAAGGGTGATCACAGAAGAGCATGTGAATCTTTAGATGTAAATGGCACTGGCCTAGGTGGATGCAGGCTTGGCCTGGGGTCATAGATTTGGACTAGCCTCAAGGAATGAGTTTCATAAAATATAAATAAATGAGATTTAGTCTCCAAACAGCCGAGTTTTGAATGTGAGCTTTCTTTTTTGAACATTTTCAGCAGGGAAATGAAAATAAAGAAAGGAGAAAAGTACCCCCATAAAGCTCTTTGTTCTAAAACACAAATGTGTATTGGTTTTAAACTGCTGTTCACTTTGAAGACTGTCCAAGGTGCTTCATTTTCTAATAAATACAATACCTTAGACTTGCCTCAGAGAGAAGAAAAAATATTTCAAGTATCAGGGGATAATAGCCAAGGAGCTATTTGAACTTTAAGTAAAAATGTTAATAAAGCATTCATTCCGAGTCCTTGAATTTCCTTGCTTGAAAATCACTCAGAAAGCTAAACATAAAGGAAAATCAAAGGAATGCCTCTTGGGTTTCAGAAATAATGCATTATTCATCGAGAAGCCAGGAAGGGAATTATTCTCAGGGTGGAAAATGCTTGGATGGAAAATGCATGGTCCCATTATTCCATTTACTTGGAAACTAAAAACTCGCAGGCCCTTCATGAATGGGAGAGCATTCTTTCAAGTTTCCTTTCCCCTTTCTTTTATCAAAGCTCTAATTGAACTCAAATTCAGAGCTTGATTAGATAGCAGCAACATGCATCTCAACAGATTTATTTTAAATAAAATGATCTTTTTCTCCTTCCAGGCAGCAGAAGGAAACATCCTTATTCTCACGGACTTTCACAAGCTCCATGACTTTGTTCGAGAGGGACAGAATTCAAATACAGTCATTTGTTGTTTATATCTCCTTCTAATTTTTAAATTCTAAAACAGCAAGATCTTTTCAATAAAAGCCATGGTCTCAGCAACCAGCCCATGGGTCTTACTTTTAGACCAAAAAATGCAAGGAGCCTTGCTGGATCCGAGACAGAAACTGGGAAACACGATGGCCTGACACAGGAGGAGTGCATGCAGACACGTCATTGAGGAACTCGGAGTCCTGTCCCTTCTTCACTGAAAGGAACTGTTTTCAGTACTATGATTAAGCCGAACCACACAGTCCCAACACTGCGTTTGGATCTTGAAGGCTCAATTGAGTAATTCAAGGGACTCACAGTACAGGCCTCAAAAATCAACATCTAAAACCAATCAGACAGTTTTCCCTTCCTCTCCTCCCTTCCTTTCTCTTTCACGGAGGTGCCAAGGATCAAAAGGACCAAAAGATGAAGATGGACTGCAGAAGCGGAAAATGGGGTCTGGAAAATTCCAAAGTGATTAGGCTTCTAAACAACAGTGAGTAAGTATTATGCAATCAAGTTTGCTCAAATTATGGATTTACTTCCAAGCTTCTAAAAAACAAAAACAAACTACACCCAAGCCGCTTTGGTAATAAGTAGCCAACCATAATTCAATCCGATTATAGGACTTGAGATGTGCACTGTGGACTCTATCAACACAGAATCTGTAGAGGCTCAAGTGCACACCTATAAATCAGGTTGGTAAGAGTAAAAAGAACCTTCTCCATATCTGTAAAGTGGAGAAGTAATACCTCTCTGCCTACTCTGTAGGGTGTGGTGAGGATCAAACTGAGATATAACAGGTAAAAGCCCTCTATACGCTGTGCATCTACCTGACTACACCACCTATCACCGTTGAGGGAGGCATAATGTGCAAAGGCTGGTGTAGCACAGCACCAGGGCAGATTTCCTCCAGGGCAGAATGTGAAAGCATGTTTTGGACCATCAAGACCTGGCATTTCAAAAAGCTCTGAGATGCTACCATCCTGATTTAAGAGATTACAAGGACTTGCAGTTGGATGTAAAGAGGATAAGAAAAGGGAAAAGAGAGGAAACACAGAGAAGCACAGAAGCTCCAAATCATTTTGGAGGTTCTCCTGGGTCAGCTCAATACCTTCACCAAAATGGCGAATAAAATAATATGCTACTTAGTAGGGACAGTGCTTTAGATAGTTTGTATATTTCCAGCACATCTAATGGACGAATCCCCACAGACCAGGGCATAAAACCAAGAAATGGTACACAATAGCATGAAAGTAAGAGGCACAAGTAGTTTACGGTTACATACTGTAAAGTCAGAAGCAGCAGATAAGATGTCCAAGACGTCCCAGAAGTGGCAGAAGATAAGATGTCCAAGGGCACGAACACCTGGTATATCTGGTTAAGACATTTGAAATTTCTCCAGTCCAGCACTGATTCTCAAGCCTAATCACATACTACAATAGCCTGCAGAGCTTATAAGAAATAATGATCTTCACCTGTACCTCCCCTTTGAGATTTTAATTTCATTAGCCTCATTGGTCAGAGTCTCATTTAATACACAATACTGTAACAGAGTAGAAGAAGAAAATGATCTGGATAAAAATAGAGGCAAAAACATCAGATGTTTCCAAATTCCAGAGGAGAAATAATGAAAGCCTGAATCCAGGTAGTGGCAATGGGGAAAGAGAGGTATGGAAAGATTGGGAAAGTGTTTAGGAGACAGACTGCATGAAATGAATGAGAATGATAAAAAGAGTCTCAGATGACTCCTAGATTTTTCCATTTGGATGAAGGAAGAATGGTGCTACCTTTCACTGAAGGAGGAAACACAAGAGAAAGTGTTGGTTGGTGTTTTCAGAGTGAAGGTGAGTAGAACAGAGATAATGACTGGTTTTATACATCTTTAGTTTGAGGTACCTGCAAGACTTCAGATGGAGATGCCTTAAAGACATCATGAGAGGCTCGTGGCAATTTGAGTCCCAGGAAATTGTCTCTTAGTGTGCTGTACAAGAATGGTTACACTCTGCATGATTTGCCAATATTACAAGGAACACAGGCAGAAGGATATTCAAAAAATATTCCTGGGCTGGAATAAATAGCAGAAATTGCTCTTCCTAGAGTGAGCTTCACTCCTTATACATCTGTCAAATCAATCTGTGAGGGTCCCAATGCCCACAAAGATGGATGGAGAGGTGCTGGAATGTAGACGTAAAAAGCAGAGAGGAAGGATGCTGTTTTGGAACAACAGGTCACAGCTGCAGAACAAGATCATATTACCACACCTTCCCTCAAATCTACACAACCCCATCAGCTGAATAATGCTTACCATCTGGTCTCACAATTAGAGCCTTTTTTCTAGAGTGACTTTTCCCTAACTAGTTGAACTTTGCTTACATATGGAACATAAGAACCAAAGTTAAAGAGAAAAAGTCTTTGACAGGGAAGACCTCTAGGGAGAGAGCCCAAGATTTCTGATGAAAAAAACAGAAAGCATTTCCAGTCTGGCTGGCAAATTTGTGTTTTTACCAAAAGTCAGACATCCCACGGATCTAAAACGAGTCAAGGTAAATTGATTCCACATCGGTGCTATGTCCAAGTGAACCTCTCCCTTGGCCTCACTCTTGTTTCTCAAATGAGGATCTCAGAAACAGATCTCCCCATTTCAGAGGCTTTTGTAGAGATCAAGGGGGAAAATAAGTGTTCAAATACATAAACTACTTTTTCTATTGCCGCTAAATTGTGCATTCCTTCAGGGCAGCATCTTGGTGTTCTAGAATCCAATCCAATTT